AAATTATATACTTTTTTAGTTCATAGGAAATCAATCATTACTATGTTAATAAAAGATGACTCATATTTCAGAGATTTGTGAACGTTAAATTGCAAAGTAATTTAATTACCATGGTACACGCACTCAATACACTGAGTTTGATTGTTCATGTTTACAAACAGTAACCAAGACACAATATTATGAATTATTATAAATATATAAATTCTTACATAACCTACTTCACATGATGAAATGTAATTTAGAATAGACTTCTACACATCACTGTCTTACACTAATGCATTTTTAGTTAAGCAACTTAATAATGTACTATCAGCATTTCGAATCAAATTATACAGAATTTTTTTAGAGAAATTTTCATAAAGTTTTATGATTTTCTTTACGATCAATCTCGCTCCAATGATCTTGAAGTCGGTACTTCTTCATGGATATTGTATCATTCCATTGTACAACATTGTTATTGTTGTCTAAACAAACTTGTTTCAAGTACATTACAGTGCCAAATTGCCTTGTGATAAAGAAATGAAATTATATTATAAAGTTTTCTTTTCATAGATGTGCATCCATGTCCCGGTGGTGTTCATTTGACCTCACATGGTTATCCTGTGTTTTGTGGTACCACTCCTCAAACGGGATCCATTATTATTGAAGACTGTCCATCCGGGTATTCCTGTCTCGGAGATCCCAACTATAAATATTCTCTGTGCTGTCCTGATGGTAAAATATTTTTAATATAATTCAGTTTCCACAATTGTATGAACAGTATAAATTTACTCTTTCAATTATGAATATTAATATATTATATTTGTTGTACCGACAGATACTACTTTGGGCTGCTATGTGAATAATGCTTTTATACCAAATGGTGATTACTATATTAACGACGAGTGTTATGCATGGTGAGTTAAAATGCGTAAGAAACTATTTAAAATGAAAATGAACTTTTGGAAGCATATCTTTATTAGGATTCCATATAAATTAATTACTTTTTAGGGATTCTAGACCTTAAACGGCTTTCATTATTGTTATGTTTATATTGATATTATGTGTTCCTATTCAAAATATATTCACACCAGTTTTTATTTAGTTTAGATTGACCCCATAGGGAAAGTGTTACTCTGAATATGAATTTTTTTATTTAACTTCTCATCAGATGCTTTGAAGATAATGAAAATCGTGACTTGATCATGTTGTTTAGTGGCCACAGCAGCAGAAATAGACAAATGATTTGTTTACCCATAAGCCAATTCTCGTGAATGTTGGTACTTTGAATGTTTAAATTTCATCTCATTATAAGTTCACCGGCTTTAATGAGTATAGTGGGGATGAGTCACACAAAAACTGCAAGTCGAATATAAACTGACAGCTCTCAATTTCTCGTGCTCGTACATTTATTTAGCGGTCTAAATTGTTGGTTGGTAACATATATTTGCTCCACTTAGATCCAAACTTGTTTTTGTTCGATTGTTGATGTCATTTAAATGCTTCCAATACTGTATACATCACACAGATGACGAAGATGTCATTTTATGCATACATAGTTTAAGGTTTAATCTCCTGCGGGCGTCTTGACATCCGGGCATTTCTGCTATGTCACTTTACTTCGTATTGTCGTTATCAAGTTATAATGTTGCACATGTTTGTCATAATCCAGATGTCATTATAATGTTAACTTTGTTTCTTTTCAGTCAATGTGTAAACGGTAGGATTACATGTGAGGACACACCGTTATGTGGTAAGTGTATATCCATTAACCTCTGCATATGAAATGTGAAAATGATTTATCACATAATATCACTTGTTTGTTGACGCTAGTGACGTCATGGACTAGTAGGAGCCACAAATCGAGGGCGAGTGGATAATACACCCCATGAATCCCATTTTCACAAAGACACATATAATATTATGGTTTATGCTAATTAGGAATAGAGTCTAACCGTGTCAGTGACTGTCAATTCTCCTAACGCTCTTTCTCTCTGGTGTCCTTTTCAAATACGCATAAATTGATGACGTGTAACGTTTACCGTTCGATAATGGTATAAACATCATAAAATTGAATGAATGCATCATGTGCACGTTATCATGCGATAGACATTTTCATATCGCATTGCGATGTCAGATGAATTGTAATAACTAAAGTAGTGGATAAACAGTTTGTTTTGAACTAGTCGGTTTTAGATTTTAGACTTCACTTTTGAATTTATTATCTGTAGATAAAATGTGTCCCAGTGGAGTACAACCTTATAAAGACGACCAAAACATAAATGCATTGTGCTCCGTTGCAATTGGTGTCGATAGTATATTAACTCAGACCTGCCCACGTGGTTTCTACTGTAACATGATAACGAGTACGTATGGTGTGTGCTGCCCGCTGAAACGTAAGTATTTACATATTTTATTTTAATGTTAACGTCTTTCATTGCGAAATCAGACGTTAAGGCGTCACAGTTTCTGTCCCGTGCCGTGTTGTATACTGTCCCATGCGACGTATACAACGGACGTATATTACATTTTATCACAATTACATTTTGAAACGCTATACAACGATCTACTCTGCGCAGCAGTAGCGAGCTTTTAACAAATAAATAAAAAAGTCACTAATTTATTCGCCATTTATATTATGGATTAATTAACATATACACATCATCGCAAGTGTTTTTTCTCCGCTAACTAGAATGTTAAACGTAACTTATTTAGAGTAAAGAAAAATCATGTCTGGGTGTTCACGACCGTAATTTTATATGCATTCATTTGCTCTATTTACCAGTTGATGATGTGTGTTATTATAACGGCGTTGCGTACCCAGTTGGTGGAACCGTGATATGGGGCTGCGCCCTCTGGTAGGTTTCACACATTTGTTATTATTGTTCAGTTAACGACATGCTGTCCATTACTGCTCATGCGCTAGTATACGGTATCTGCCTGTACGTGTTAATGACATGAACAAGTAGTATTGACAATCGTGCAATATCACTACACTAACGTTTTTGATTGTGTCCCCAGTCAATGCCGAGATGGTGGATTTGTATGTTTGTATCCTCCTGGTCTTATCTGTGGTAAGTTCCGGTAATATTTGGTACTTAAAAGTTCAAAAGCAAACGTTATCGTAATAAATATGGCAACATATATAAGTTCTGGTCGATGAAGAAAATTAACCAATTGATTAATGATTGCAAGTGTTTATATATATACTGTTTGTAGATACAGTACACTGTTGTATGACCTATTACAGATTACTAAGTTGTCGTTGCCTGTCTTTTTAATACAAGCGCACTTTTTTTATAGATCCATCAGAACCCATCTGCCCCAATGGCGATGATTACTATACGAGTACGGGAACAGATGTTAATTTCTGTACACTTCCACTGGATGCACCATTGGGTCTTACACAAGGGGATTGCCCGGCTGATTATTTTTGCCATCCTTTAGACCTCGGATACAGTATATGCTGTCCAGCAATTTGTAAGTCTTCCCTTTCAATACAAATCGTCTTCAGTGGTGATTGTTATTGCAATTCTCTTTTCAACTATTGTTCACCGACACGATGCCAATGGACTGGATAAAAATGAAAACCTTGGTGTGAAACCGTAACTCTTGTCGCATGCCATCATACGGGATAATTGGTAACATTAAGCGTTGATTGTATGTGTATTTATTTATATCTGTAGCTGGGGATTGCGTTGTTAATGGAGTTCTGATTCCGAATGGCGGAGTGATTCTGATGCCAGACTGTGTGTTATGGTGGGTATCACAGATTTAATAAAAATGTCGGCTAAAACACAGTGTGTTTTCTTAGCATCTCCTTCAATGTTCTCCATTCAATCTCATATTTAGTGAACGTGAAGTAATAATTAGCAAATCCCATCTTAAAACCTGTTGTCGAAACTATGATTGGTAGCACATGGATCGGCGATCACATACTCACTAGTAAATATTTTGTTCGTATTCTCAGTAAATGTATAGACGGCGCCATGGCATGCATAGAGAAATTACCATGTGGTAAGTAACAACATCAATAAAAACAACAGTTATTGTACCTACAATTATCAGTAAAGTATAGTATATAAAACGTATATTCATGTTTTTTTCTTTCCAGATGAAATATGTCCGAACGGAGGTGATCCTTATGTAGAAGATGGTGTTGGAACAGTGTTCTGTTCAGGAGCTCTTCTGACATCAGAATACTATGCAACGAGAATAAAGCATTGTCCTAGAGGATATGAATGCACTGCTAGATTCGAGTGGTCTATCGGTGTGCTGTCCTATCAGTGAGTACCGTACATTAATTAGTTTTAACCGACTGCTATGAAGTACAATCTGACACACCGTACATTTAATTTCACGTGATTCCCGTTTGTTCTGTTCATAGGAGATCCGATTGGATGCCCCTGTCCCCGCATTCCAATAGATAGCTTTCCAGTATGTCTATCCAACTGTGACAATTGTATGAACCATCCGCCATACGACATTTGTTGCATTGATGAGAAAGCGTGTCCAGGAGGCTGTGTAGGATTCATTAATACTGTTGGTGGGTTATGTTCACGTTATTTTTTTCGATCGTGCAGTATATGTGACATACAAGTGTGAATGTGCTCCATCTGTAGCACCTGTGTTTGATTCAACAAATGACCGGAAATGTTCATCCATGTATAATATATTACAATATGTACTACATGTGCGCCCATCATTGTGGTTTTCTATTGTTTTTATAGGTTACTGTAGATATGATTGTGAATACTTTATGCCAGGAGATACTATAACAGTGCCACCATGCACAGAATGGTATATACTTTTCAATTACCTTGTATATAAATCGATTGGCAATTCATTTATATTTACGTAGGCAATTTGTGGTGTCTAATGTACATTGTTGATTTTTTTTGCAGTCAATGCACAAACGCCAAATGGGACCCCTGTACCACAGACCCATCTTGCAGTAAGAAACATTCTGCTTACGTCAGTATAATGTTATTTTCGTGTCCATTGCATGCGCAGACGGTAATTTACATAAACAGTACTGGCGCCGGGAAATGTATAACGTTATTATTCTCATGTTTGATTTGTGTTTTAGCTTGTGTTACTCCACAAACGGACGAATTGGGTAATGTAGTCACGTGTTCGTCAGATGTAGATTGCCTGAATGTATATGGCTTCACATGCATCAAAGGAATATGCTGTAACAGTGGTACGATTTATGTCGAACATTATGATATGAACGTTGATTTCACTTGATCTTCTGATGTTGAAACTTACCAGCAATTTCTATGAATCGCGTTATGAACACGTGCTACATTTATGTTACAAACATTAGTCCAACAGTAGTATTAAAATATGTTTACTTTGAATTAACTTATAATTTACCCCGCTATGTATTCCGTGTTATTCACTTGCTTTACTTTATATGTTAAAAGCTTCGAGTTTACATTTTTTTCTTTTTGCCAGTTTGTTGCACCCGTGGACAATAGCAAAACCCAGCATTTTGGGACATCAATTTGACAGGAAATCGTTATACTGATTTAGATCAGATCGTAGTAATATTTGACAACTATTGTATAATATACACACTGGTTTTTTTACCAACAGACTGGGTTCCATGCGAAAAGCCCTTGTTAGCTGAAACTGGATACCCGTACAATTGCGCATTTACAGAATGTCCGACTGGATATTCCTGTGTGCTTAATTTTGAATATGGTGTATGTTGTCCAGGTAGGGTCATGATCGTAAGAAATGTATTATGGCCATATATACTGAACTAACATATTTTTGTACAAATTGTACGATTCGAGCTGTCGCAATATGTATACAATGTCATTAACGAGGTATTGCAGAAATAGTAATAGCTTGGTATCTAATTGTACAGATAAATACCCATGCTGTCTTGAACCTGAATCTGGACCGTGTGAAGCATATTTTCCACGATGGTATCACGATTGCCGGGATAACAAGTGCAAAGAATTTATTTACGGTGGATGTCAGGGGAATGATAACAATTTTCATACTAGAGCAGATTGTGAAAAAGAATGCGGAGGTAAGCAATGTGCAAATGCAGTATCCCTGTTTTAAATATGAATTCCTAAATGCTGGGGTTATTAACAAAATGATATAATTCATTTCAGTAATAATTAATAACAGATATATGATAATATTTTAAATTCAATATTATAGGTGACTGTTGTTTACCTGTTGATCCTGGTCCGTGTAAAGGTTCCATTTCCAGATGGTACTTTGACTGTGAAACAAATGAGTGTATAGAGTTCGTATACGGAGGATGTGAAGGAAACAACAATAATTTTGAAACGGAAGAAGCGTGTAGACGACATTGCGGTAAGCAACACGTCACCTGTGTACTCGTAATGACATAGATATTACATGTATATTAACACACATCAGTGCATGTGATTAGAATCACATGAATATCATTATTATATCTTTTCCCACAACAAGATGGACCATGCCCGTGTCCTGAAGGATTTCTGGGTCAAGTTTGTTGGTTGAATTGTGACGTTTGTGATGAACATGCATCAACGACGCCAAACTATATATGTTGCAACGACGGTAGCTGCCCGGCACCAGCATGTCTTGGAGGAGTATACACGCCAGGTAATTGAAATTATAGTATATATACGACAGCTTAGAGAGAATACCAGCTGACCTTTGTTTTTCTGTGCTTAGTCGAAACCTAGCCTTTCATTGGCTTTAATCATGTATTATATGCCCGGCACTAAATGGCTTAAGTTTATGTCCCGGAACTGAATTGACTATAATAATACAATTACGACTACAAAAGTGTAAAGTGGAAACAACTAACTAGACCATAGAAATCCAGGTACAAGTACCGATCACCCCGATGTAGTAACTATAATTGCCTAAAATGGTAAATTTATTTGCGAATTGATCGAGAAAATGGCCACGAATAACATAATATGCGTACGCAATATGTGTAATATATGAAATCTACTACACACTCATGATCAGGAGAATATCACCATACAACGTAATATAATAGATATACCATATCCACGGAATTGCAACGCCGTGCTCGGGGATAATCTATCACAAAGTATGCTAATATTCCCCCAGAGAACCCGTATATGACCTGTACAACCTGTACATGAGCGTTTATCGTGTTTTTGACCTAATCAAACATCTCGCTTGCCAGAATCGTTGGACCACATTTACCAACACCTTAGTACAATATTTTGCCGATGTATATTTATTTTTTTATTTATTTTTTTCTAATTTTGGGTCAAATGGACTTAAAAATATTTGAAAATATAAAGAAATTGCGAATGGTGACACATGTTGACTCGTGCGCTTCAAAGAGTTAATAGTTATAGACACTCACATTTTTTTTTAAATTTTCACAGAAGGATTTTGTGAGTTGGACTGCGAGTATTACTCGCCAGGAGATGTAGTAAAGGAAGATTGTGAAATATGGTAAGAGATTGGTTTTTCTGATTATCTTTGCTTAAAGCGCGGCAGTCGTAGCACAGCGCATGTGCGACATTTGTGTTGATAAACATTTATTTTCCCTCAATCCAATGCGCTCTTCTAATATAATCATGAGTACGAGGTTTAATCTGAGCGCGACCTCCTTTGATACCTTCCAAACACCAAAAAATACCTAATTAAATCTTGGTAACGTCTCAGTTTGTACTCGTTGATCTGCAACGTCGCCATCTTTGTTTATATGAGACCCATTTATCTCGCGCATGCGTGGCATGACGACTACCGCCTTTTAAGTTCTATTAGACTTATTAGATTTAACTAATACGAAACTTACAATCGTAGACTAGATTTAAATATTCTTGAACAAAACATTTGTATACTTTTTTATCAGCGTTTGTAGAGAAGGGGATTGGATTTGTCGACCTGACCCGGCATGCGGTGAGTACATGTTTTGTTTTGTTCTTAAATGTCGTGCATACACACTCGAATTGCTCGACTGTAATTGTTTTCGTGTGTTGCAATGTGTAACAATGATTGTTTTCACAGGTGGACCATGTCCTTGTCCAATCGATTTTGTACCGGAAGTGTGCTGGGAATCGTGCGACGAGTGTATTGCAAATTCTGATCAGGATTACCTTTGCTGTTCGGACATTGAAAACTGCCCGCCTCCTTCATGCCTGGGTGGACATTATATTGAAGGTATTTCAGCGTTTAAATTTGGAAATGGTATGGGTATAATTAAGAAATATATATCACATGATATTTTATTTGTGTGTTAACATTATACTAGTATAATGATGATATTTACATGCCCGGTGCTATGACGTTTGTCATATGTAGTGATTTGATTTGATGTTACATGACACTACTCGACAAACGCTATTATAAAACTCTTTATATTTGTTCTTAGGTTACTGTGAAAAGAACTGTACTTACTACAAACCATTTGAAACATATGTAGAAAACTGTGAAATATGGTAAGCAGCAAAAACGTCTACTCCACACTACACATGTATTCCCCGCAGTAAGTGTAATGTAACAATATCGTACGTAATTGCTTCCCGGATTGCAATGTTTTACAAAAAGTGCAACAATGTTTCATGTATAAAACATGTGTTCGAACTAAACATTTATTAGCGCCAACATTACAGTGCCAGTTGTAGATAATCTCATGCAGAATCAGTGGAAAACAAAACCCATGATGGTGAATCAGCTTGGCTGAAAATAACGTTCTGGCAAACCTGGTTCTCTCCTAGTGAATGACACCAGTGATTTTGTATAACATCACACGAAACAAATTTCAACATGTTTGCACTGCTGTAAACATCGGGCACTGCTTATCGGGAAAAAAACAATAATAATATTATTACTTTACACT